CACATCTCACACACAGAGACAAAAACAGATTAAAAGTCAAAGGATGGGGAAAAAAAACATACCAAGCTAATTGCAATAAAAGACAAACAGGAGTGGCAGTACTAATCTCTGATAAAATAAGCTTTAAGGAAAAAACAAGCATAATAGATAAAGATGGACATTATCACATGATTAAGGGGACAATTGAACAAGATGACATAACCATAATAAATATCTATGCTCCCAATAAAAGAGCTCCTAAATGAATAAAGCAAACTCTAATAGATCTGAAGAAAGAAATAGATGAATCTACATTAGTTGGTGATTTTAATACACCACTTTCAAAAATGGAAAGAACAACCAGAAAGAAACTTGACAAAGACACAGAACAATGAAATAACACAGTCAGCCAACTGGACCTCATAGATGTGTACAGAGCATTTAACCCAAAAACAGCACAATACAAATTCTTTCCCAGTGCACATGGAACATTCTCTAGAGTAAACCATGTCTTAGGCCACAAAACAAATCTTCACAAATTTACAAATAATAAAATACTACAAAGCATCTTCTCAGACCACAATGCTATCAAGTTAGAAATCAACAATAGGAAGACCAAAAAAATAAAGCCAATTACATGGAAACTGAATAACATCCTGCTGAAAAGTGACTGGGTAGTAGAAGAAATTAAACATGAATTCACAAAGTTCCTAGAAATAAATGAGAACAAAAACATAACATACCAAAATTTTGGGGACATGGAGAAAGCAGTTCTGAGAGGACAATTTATTGCAATAAACACACACATCCCAAAATAAGAAAGAACCAAAATTAACACATTAACACAGCATCTACAACAAAACAGACCAACAGAGGGAATCTACAGCCACCAAAAGAAAAGAAATAATAAAGATTAGAGTAGAAATAAATGAGATAGAAAACAGAAAAACTATAGAAACAATCAACAGGACAAGAACCTGCAGATCAAAACACCAATGAGATATCATCTCACACCAGCAACAACAGCAAAGATCAAAAAAGTAGAGGACAATAAATGCTGGCAGGGATGTGGAGAGACTGGGACGCTCCTGCATTGCTGGTGGGACTGCAAAATGGTCTAACCTCTATGGAAAGCAATATGACGCTTCCTCAGAAGGTTGGAAATAGAAATACCTTATGATCCAGCAATTCATCTACTTGGTATTTACCCACAAGAAATACAAGCCATAACACGAGTAGATATATGCACACCAATGTTCACAGCAGCACTATTTACAATAGCAAAAAGATGGAGACAAAGTGCCCATCAACTGAAGAATGGATAAACAAGCTGTAGTACATACACACAATGGAATATTATGCTATTTTGAAGAATAACAAAGAGGCTGCAAGCCACCATATAACATGGATGAACCTTGAGAACATTATGTTGAGTGAAATTAGTCACAAACGGAGAAATACTGCACAGGACCACTAATGTTAAGAGTAAGAAAAAGAACCTACACTAAAGTGGGGGTGGATACTTTGCTGGCTACTGGGATGTGGTGGTGAGGGGAGGGAGGGGAAGGTAGAGCACAGGGTAGGGAATAGACACAGGATAGTTTGTGTGCTAGGGAGGGGGGCAATATACAAGAAGGGGGAGGGGAATGGAAGAGCAAAGTGGATGGGAAAACAATTCGGCAGGTTTGCATGGGCTAAGTGGGACAGAGCTAAATAATGATGTATGTACACCTTGGAACAACAGGGCTCTGGGGATACAGGGATTGAGACATGATTGGAATGGGGAAAAGGTGGGAAATAATGTTAAGATGCTGTCTTTTGAATCTTGGTTTTCCTTGCATTTTATTATAAAATAGACAGACACTGGAGGAGGAGAGAACGGAATAGCCAGAAATATCACCATAGAAAGCTCGAAAGTCTGTCTTCTGCCTATAACTGACTGGAATACCTAAAATGGGGCTACAACGTGCCCAGTGAAGGAGGCTTTCTGTGGAGCCTCTATATTAGATAAGACTATAGGTGGAATCCTGAGCAGCATCCAGAATCTTCAGAGGGAAATTTCCACTTGAAAGGACAAGCAGACTAGCCTGGAGTGGCTAGAAGAACAGAAGGTATTCTTGAAAGAAAGACAGACAGGAAAAATATAAAACAATATAGGCAGAATGACTGATTACTACAAGAACAAGCAAGTAGTTCACCCAGGAGACATCAAGGTAAGTGGTCGGGTCCCTTCAGAGCAAACCCCCTTCCAAGACTAAAACTCAATGGGAATACACGCTCTGATTGATGACCACTTTCATCACCGATAATGGGAAGTGAGGGAAAAACAGCAATGAAGCTGTGAGCTAAGCCCTACAATGTCCAATAGATTCCTGTGAACCCGGGTGGAGACCTGGTTGGCCAGCAGTGTGGCAAGACCTGGGGACTCTTGGGCCCAGAGTCAGTGAAATAGCCATAGAGGACTAGAGTGGAGAGTGAAGCGTCCAGCTGATAAGAGAGGACATATGCACAAAAACACCCACACTTGCAGGTAATACCCACTTGACCTGGCTTCAATGACTGGATGATCGAGCTCAACTAGAAGAAGAAAGAAGAGGAACAAAAAAAGAGTAATCTGATACAATTTGATGAACTTGACCTACACCTATGGGTGCAGTAGCTCAAAAGAGGGAACAAATCTTTACAGCAAGGATCATTCCCACCCCCTCCACACACAGAGTAGACTGGGATGGGCAACTTGGACACTGGCTATGAAAAATGGGGCACTACAAAGGCAAGAAGTGACTGGTTTACAATCTTTCAAGAGGGAATCTAGATCCAGAGGGCATGGAGGAAGACAGAATCTCCAGTGAGTAGTGTCCAATCTGTCTAGGCTGGGCTGATGAAAGGAAATGTAGATAGGTCTCCTGTGGTACAATAGTGAATAATTGTTATCAGGACTGATTGTGAGGGTTGGAAATGTAAAGGTGGATGTTTTGTAGCAAAAGAAGCATGGTTGACTTTGCAGTCCAGAAGCGGAAGTCCCTGGGACCATCAAGGGAGAAGATCCGAGAGCGAGACCCTACCCAGAGAAGCAGTGACGTCTGACATGGCGGCAGAGAAGATGATGTGGAGAGATGGTGCGGCTGCGGACGTTAGACCCAGAGAGGGAGAGGGGCTGTATGCCAATGACCAGGGGGCAGGCATGCAGGGTATACTTTGTGGTTGGTTGATGATGCATGGAGGGGATTGTAACCATGGCAATGAAGCGATATACAATAGGATGAATGTAAAGCTAATGTTCTCCCATGTAAACTATCACATAATTCACAATAAAACATTAAAAAAAATTATGGTAAGCAACAGTAAAATATTACTATTAACAATAAAAACCCAAGTCTACTTACCCTACTTCATAGGATGCTAAACCTTCTTTGACTAGCTGGTCATTAATACTAGCAGGAGTCATTCCAGGAGTACCAAGGGAATCAAAAAGCTCTATTAAGAGTACATTATCTTCCAGAATTTCTGTAAAATCATTCAGATTAGTTGGGAAAGGAAACAAGTATACTGACAAATGACTAAATGAGGTGTTCAAAACATTAAACTTAGTATCTATCACGGTGCCTACAAAAGGTTTCTCATTATAAAAATTAACAAAAAATTCACTTTAGGTTACTGTGTGTCATCAGTTTCAGTAATGAGCCAAAAGCAGTTTAAAAACCTTTTAAATTACAAAAAATATAAAAACAAATATGCTTATTGAAAAAAGTTTTCTATCATGATTTTGATGTATTTTAAGGATCCAACCGAGTTCCAGGAGAACAAAAGAAGTGATATGAGAAAGCTGAGAGCTTTTATCAGATTGGCACAAAGTGAAAATGAAATAAAACTAGGACCTTCAATTAACTGCAGTTTTTTACCCTTTCATTTTTAAGGACAAACAGTACTTAATTTTTTATTTCTTTTAGGAAACAAATTATTTATTAGATAAGACTGAGGGTACTGATAATCTGCTGAGGTGTAAATAGATGATAGAATAATTTATACAGTAAATGCCTATACTTTCTATCCAATAGGGCAGGGATGGGAAACACCCAGCCCAAGGGCCTACAAGATAGTTGGTCTGGCCCTACCAAGGCAACCGCAGGTAGGACTGAAATTCAATAAATCTAAGAACTTTTTTCATAATCACATAAATCTATATTGTGACATTATAAATATCAATATGGCCCTTGGCAGGAATAGGTTCCCCACCCCTGCAATAGGGAGATAAAAGTTGTTAGTCAGAATGGTGATTCTACATAAGATAAACAGTAACATTATATATAACCCAGGCCATCTCCTTACTTTCCATTGCTTGTGTTCCTTTTAGTTATTTGGTTCACACTTCCCATTCATATCAGGTTCTTTATTCTAATAAAGCCAGTTTTCCTTGTGTCCTGTACCTTAACCATCTTCCCTGCTGTCCTCGAAATTAAAAAATATAAATCTCCCTTACTTCGAAGCTAAAAATTCATATAAATGGGAAGCTTTCATTCTCATCTGTGCTCATTTATCTTATTATAAATTTCTTGAATTCCCAATCTAATCATTGGATGGGGAACAGTATCTTTGGTCACACCTGTTAAACAACATTATCTTGGTCAATAACTATGGTATGTCTAATATGTAAATGGTATTAGTATAATAAACAAGTGAGAAAAAAAGGGGGCCAAGAAAAGATCTCCAAGGAAGGAGTCATGAGGTATCCATGGGAGGATACTCAAGAGGGATGCTAAACAAAACAAAACTAAAACCACAACAAACTGTCAAAAGGCAAGTTGGTAAGTAGAATTATCTATGTTAAACTCTGCTCAAAATTACTGGTTAGAACCGCTGAATGACTAATCCAATGCTGTTGAGTTGATTCCACCTCAGCGACCATACAGGACAGAGATGAACTGTCCCATAGGGTTTCCAAGACTACAAATCTTTATGGGAGCAGACAGCCTCCAGGACTAAATCGTTAATTGTTCATTTCAGAGAAAACAGATATAAAAATTCTATAGACTAGGTATACAGATTCTTTAATCACATTTATTTTCAATAGAACGATTTCATATCCTAAATAAACATGTTTTTGTATATTTTACTCTAATACTCATTAGCTTCTGGTGTGGTGCAGCAGTTTAAACTCACTAGCTACTCCTTGGAAACCCTATACAGGGTTGCTCTGAGTTGGAACTGACACTATGGCACTCAACAGTACTCATTAAGTCAAACATAGCTAGTGCTTTCTACAGCTTTGGACCTGATTTGTTTGATTAAACATTAGATGAAAAACGGATTCCCAATCTCCCTACTGAGACTCGAGGACAGACGTGTTCAAAAATCAGAATTCTTCACATTAAGAACTACACAATATATATACCACATATTTTGTAATACCATCAGAGTCTGGAGCAAGATCCCACAAACATGATTATCCTGAAGTAGACATGTATGAATATTCATTTTAAAAGACATAAACACTACATAAACTCATGTCAACTCAAATCAGGATTTGCCATTAAACATCTGATTTACAGAAATTGTTGGATTACAAAAAATTGTAGATTAGTGGTCAGCCTGTGCTTTGGACCCAAACTGTTAAAAAACATGCATACTTTTCCCCCCAAATTATGCTAAGATCCTACAGTTGAATTTGCTTAATTAAAATTAACCAAAAACAAGCAATAAACTAAAGCTATTTACTAGTTATATCCTGTATCTCCCCTATCTCTTCTGCAAATTCACCTTTAACCTCCATGGCACCAAAGTTAAGAGTCTCAGAAAAATTGCAAACAGAAACAAAAGAAGCCAATTCCCGGCTTTTTCACTTTTAAGAGCTTCCGTCCAGGGTGACTTGACCTTTAATGGTAATTTTTGCTTTTATGTGCTGACTTCAGACGCAGAGTCTGCACAAGGCATGATTTGGAGTGTGGTGCTGTAGGATAAGCACTGGACTGCCAACCGCAAGGTCAGCAGTTCAAACCCATCAGCCACTCCTTGGGAACCCTACACAGGGTCCTGAAGAGTTAGAAACAACTTTACAGCAATGAACAATTTTCAATAAATGTTTATCTTTCACTACTACTACTGATGACACATCAAACTCATTCTAAGACATGCGCAGTATTGCATCATGATATATCCTTACACTTGATTATATGCATGATTATGTAACAACAAATACAAATGGAGTGAGCTTACTAATGACTGAACATGTCATAAATTTATCTTGAGTCTTTTCTTCAAATTTTTCTTTAGCTTCTTTAGACCACTGCATTGTCTTTTTACATGGTTCAATATAGGCCAGCTTACATCGAATTGCCTGTGTCACACAAAATTCCACCATTAATATAGTTTATTTCTAACTGTTTTAGGATTAAAATAAAATTTTACCTGTCTGTATAAAACAATAATTTGTGCCTGAATATGTTTATAGTATTAGTAAATAAATTTACAAAAGTATTCATCATAGTCTTTAGAAATGCAAATTATTGGAGACAGTAGAATATTTAGTTGAATGGCTTATAATTATTGTGATGAAATTATGAGCATCCATTAAAATAATTACAAATATCTTCTGATACACTGCTAAACAAAAGTGTACTATACAATGTACTAGGGTACATAAAAAATTCATGCAAATATGGAATTTGGAGATAATGGCAATTTTCTATTAACTTTTTGATGCACATTTGTGTATATTAGCTGAATTCATAATTATTACATATATAGAAGACATGAATATATACTCTTTAAAGTATATATATAAAAAAATGAATAACTGAATTGTTCTGACTGACTCCCCTCTTTATAGTCAGTTGAGTTTTCAAGATTTTTGGTAATATTTATTTTTTGAAATGAAAATAGCTAATAACAATGCCAATAACACAAAATCATATAATTACAGAGTAAGTTTCTTTTCTCTTGGAATCCCCCAAGATAAAATATTTTTACATATTTTTCAAGACTTCTTTCTTTTTGTACACATATATTTCGTATACTTGGAGTCCTGGTATGGTACTGTAACATAAGCACTGGACTGCTAACTGCAAGGTCAGCAGTTCAAACCAACCAGCTGCTCCTCAAAAACCCAATACAGGGTCGCTATGAATCAGAACCAACTTGATGGCACTTAACAATGACATCAACATTACATATATTTAAACATAAGTGGGAGTTCTGGTGAGGTGCTCAGGATAATGCACTGGACTGCAAGGTCAGTTTAAACTGCAAGCAAGGTCAGCAGTTCAAACCCACCAGCCACTCCTTGGAAACCCTATACAGGGTCACTATGGGTTGGAACTGACTTGACAGCACTTACAACAACAACAATAACAAAACATACGTGGGATCACAGTAAAAGTACTTCTGAGATGCAGCTTTATCACTCAATATATCATAACATAAAACCATTAACACATTGCATTTCTACTGCAAAATGACATCTTAAAAGTGGCATACCAGTAAGTACTTATAAAGACAGAAATACAAATATTTAAAGTATTTAAAATTCATACTTATTTGTTAAGACATACAGTATTATTTCTTAAATGGTAGTTTTAGCATATCTATATATTTATAAAATGATGGTCAACAGAACATTTCTATGGTGAAAACTTAAAAAAAAAAAGCCCTATTTATGCTAATTTACTAACTGTAGAACAAATACTAAGTAGGTTACCTTCTCTGGAGGATTCAGAAACTCATCCTTGATTTTACGCATCTCTTTAAGTGTTATTTTTGCAGTATTTCCAAAGTCAACATATTTAACTTCAACTTCTCGATGCCCAGGCAATCCTTCAAAAATTATGAAATTAGAAATGATAAACTTGGGAAAGAAGTAATTATCTAGCAAAATTTAAACTGTTCTACAGCCAGCTAGATTAGATACTTTAATGTTAAACATACAAACATGATTTTTTTTTTAAATGTAGAAAACATTTCGAATGCTCAAAAATCATCCACAACACATGGCTGTTCAGAGTAGGTAGAATAAGAACTGACATTCAGTTTTAAACTATCTAAAGGTCACAATCAGAATTAAAACGACCGCTATCAAATAGCATGTGGTATAGTTTAAAAATTAAGAATGACTCTTTGAGTGACAGTGACTCATTGAAACGCTATGTGTCCCCTAAGCAGAACCCAATATCCTGAGCAAGCTACTTGTCTCTAAGTCTCATTACTTCACTTGTCAAAATGGGTATAACAACAGACTCTAATGTCAGTAAGACTTTTCTGAGGATCACTTAAAAGACTTTGCAAAGCATCTGGCACAAAGTAAGCATTTATTGTCTGTTAGTCAACATAGGTAATCAAACAAAGCAAAATATTCAATAATCAAACTATAGATTCATTCATGTAACAATATCCAACTGACATTTTTTTTTTTAATGCTATTTTTGGATATATTGCAAAGAACAAGCAGACATGCTTCTCTGTCAATCTCACTTCTATAATATAAAAGCTAATACCAGAGATACCTCTGGAAGGTTCAGAGAGAATACACAAAATCGCCATTAGCCTTTCTCAACACTTCCATATACAGTGCTACTGGATTGGTTGCCAACATTTTCAAATGTAAAGATTGACATCATTGCGTCACTTCAATGTTGCTGATGTTGTTAAGTGCCATTGAGTCAGTATCAACTCACAGTGAACCTGTATATGGTTCCCAAGGAGTGGCTGGTGAGTTAGAGCTGGCAAGCCTGTGGTTCAAAATGACGTTGTAATCCAGTGTTTTATCCCACAGCACCACATCAGGAAGTGGGGAGGAAATACAAGCCTTCTCCTTATTTCTTGGCAAATGTGAAATCAGGTAGAACGGTACTCAAGACAAAACTTCATGCAACTCAGACCCTCTTATTGTGTACATCTGCAATAACTGAAAAGCCACGTGTTTGGGTGTAAGGGCAGAAGGTAGGGAAGCTCTCCCCACATGCACTGGAATCCCTATAGCTATGTGGATATTCTCAACTGCATCAATGCCTCTTGATTTTTACCTTTTTTAAGTCTCTGAATGAAGGTAGTATTTTAAACAAATTAGCAAATAGATAAATAAGTGGATGTGGAATAAAATTTAAAATACATTCTTGACTCCAATTGTCAGTCAAGTAGAGAGGGCAGGGACAGGAAACATGGACAGACTCAAAATTTATTTACCTTCAAAAAAGAACAAAACCCAGGAAAACTCACATTTCAGATGTCCAAACAAGCTATTAAAAATCCACAGATATCAAAACAGTGTGGTAGTGGTATAGGGATAGATATAGAGTCCTAGAACAGAGTCCAGAAATAAATCCACCTATGTCCTGGTGTGGTGCTGTGAGTTAATGCACCAGACTGCAAAGCCATTTGAACTACAAGCTTGGTGGTTCAAGCTCACCAGTTGCTCCTTGGAAACCCTATGCAGGGGCACTTAACAACACCAGTACCACATCTATATCCAATTGTTTTTTAAAGAGTTCTAATCCCAGGAGCTCTGGTAGCATAGTGGTTACGATTGGGCTGCTAACCTCAGGGTCAGCAGTTCGAATCTACCAGCTGTTCCCCACAATAAAGATGAGGTTTTCTGCTCCCGTAAGGATTCACAGGGTCGCTATGAGTCGGAACCGACTCCCCGGCACACAGCCACCATCACTACCACCACCAGTCATCTGTCACTTTGTTGTACTGTGGCAGCGTGCATGTTGCTGTGGTGCAGGAAGCTATGGCACCAGTATGATAAGTAACAGCAAGGTCACTCATGCTGGACAGGCTTCAGCTGAGACTCCAGACTAACACAGACTAAGAAGAAGGAGAGACACAGTACTTCTGAATGTTTACACATTGAAAATGTTATGAATAGCAGTGGAATACTGTCAGATTATTGAATATTGAAACATGAATGTTGTTGTTGTGGTTAGGTGCCATCGAGTCAGCACCAACTCCTAGCGACCTTATGTACAACAGAACCAAACACTGACCGATCCTGGGCCAACCTCACAATTGTGCCAGGCTTGACACCACTGATGCTGCCACTTTGCCAATCCATCTTGCTTGGGGTTTTCCTCTTTTTCTCTGACCTTCCACCTTACCAAACTTGATATCCTTCTCCAGCGACTGGTCCCTGACAATATGTCCGAAGTATGAGATGGAAGTTTAGCCATTTGGCCTCCAAGGAGCACTCTGGCTGCACTCCTTCCAACACAGATCTGCTGGTGCTTTTGGCAGCCCACCCACGGCACCTTCAATATTCTCCTCCAATATCATAACTCAAAAGCATCAATTCTTCTATGGTCTTTCTTATTCACTGTCCCACTTTCCAACACATATGAGGTTATTGAAAATATAACACCAGAATACTGTCAGATATACTACTGAGAGATGAGCCCCTCAGGTTGAAAGGCACTCAAAACACGACCAGGTAAGAGCTGCCTCCTCAAAGTAGAGTTGACTGTAATGATGTGGTAGGAGTAAAGCTTTCAGGACCTTCATTTGCTGATGAGGCATAACTTACATCAAGGAGAAGCAACTTGTAAATATCCACTAATAATCAGGACATGGAATATACAAAGTAGGAATCTAGGAAAACTGAAAGTTCTCAAAAATGAAATGGAACACATAACGATCGGTATCATAAGAACTGGTGGTGGTGGCTGTGTGACCTGAAATCAGTTCCAACTTATAACAACTTGTATAGGGCTTCTAAGTCTCTATGGGAGCAGAAAACCTTATCTTTGCCCCAGGGAGTGGCTGGTAGATACAAACTGCTGACCTTTTGGTTGGCAATCCAGCTCATAATCCACTATACTACGAGGCCTGAAAAGGACTGGTACTGGCCATTTTGAATATGACAATCTAATGGTCCACTAAGCTGGTAAAGAAAAATTGAAGAGAAATAGCATTGCTTTTATCATCAAAAGCAACATCTCAAGTCCTATCTTGAAGCATAATACTGTCTAAAACGGACACTATCCATACACCTACAACACAGATCAGATATTATTATTTCAATTTACACACCAGCCACTGAAGCCAGTGAAGATGAAATTCAAGAATTCTAACAATTCTGTACCTGGACCAAGAAACAATTGTTCGAACAGAACATGGGAACACTGAATGGTTAAAAATTAAGAAAGGTGTGCAACAAGGTTGTATTCTTTCACCATACTTATTCAACCTGTATGCTGAGCAAATAATCCGAGAAGCTGGGTTCTATGAACAAAAACGTGGCATCAGGATTGGAGGAAGACTCATTAACAACCTGCGATATGCCGATGATACAACCTTGCTTGTTGAAAAGTGAAGAAGACTTAAAATATTTACTGATGAAGATCAAAGAGCACAGCCTTCGATATGGATTACATTTCAATGTCAAGAAAACAAAAATCCTCACCACTGGACCAATAAACAACATTCTTATCAATGGAGAAAAGATTGAAGTTGTCAAGGACTTCATTCTTGGAGCAACACTCACGGAAGCAGAAGTCAAGAAATCAGATGACGTATTGCATTAGGCAAATCTGCTGTACAGGAACTTTTTAAAGCGTTGAAGAGAAAAGATGTCAGCTTGAGGACTAAGGTGCGCCTGACCCAAGCCATGGTATTTTCAATAACCTCTCAATAACCTCATATGCATGCGAAAGCTGGACAGTCAATAAGGAAGAACACAGAAGAATTGATGCCTTTGAATTATGGTGTTGGAGGAGAATACTAAAAGTGCCATGGACTGCCAAAAGAACTAATAGATCTGTTTTGGAAGAAGTGCAGCCAGAGTGCTCCTTGGAGGCCAAGATGGCCAAACTTCGCCTCTCATACTTTGGACATATTGGCAGGAGGGAACAGTCACTGGAGAAGGATATCATGTTTGGTAAGATGGAGGGTCAGAGAAAAAGAGGAAGACCCCCAACAAGATGGACTGGCCAGGTGGCAGCATCGATGGACTAAAGTGTGGCAACAGTAGTGAAGGCGGCACAGGATTGGACATTGTTTTGTTCTGCTATGCATAAGGTCGATATGAGTCAGTGCTGACTCGATGGCACCTAACAACAACAACAACAACAACTTTTTCAGTCTGAAATTGATCAAACCGCAATCAAGATGTAATGATAATTACAGGTGATAGAAATACAAAGGCTGGAAGAAAAAAGATAGGCTCTGTGCATGGAGAATATGGCCTTGGTGATAGAAAAAATGCTGGAGATCTTATGACAGAATTTTGCAAGACCAATGACTTCTTCATTGTGAATACTTTTTTTTTTTTATTTCAATGGGAATATTTTATTTCTATAACAAGAAATGTCATGTGTATATTTAATTCACCCAGGCTATGCTCACATCGATTGAACTTTCCAGCAGGTGCAACTACCTGTTGTTCACAGTTTTGAAACTTTACAGTAACTCCCAAACTTACAAACATATCCATACATACAAAACAGATAAAAAAGATAAAGGGGAAGGAGACACCATGCAGGGAGTATATTAATAATGTAAAAATTAATTTAAGAAGCTGCAGAGACTGACAGAATTTTTTTTAAGGTTTTAACAAAAGCAAACTCAGATGAAAGGTCAAGGATAGAATAGAAGCAGTAACCTACTGAGCAGACAATCTCTCTTGTCACACATGAATGGTAAATTTAGCAGTAGTCCACAGGCAGGAGAGAAGATGATCAATGTTATTCAACTGAACATTTGGGACCCTTTTCAAATGTCACAATTAACCTTATATAGGAGGGTGAGTCAAAACACTTGTATACTCTGGTTGTATTAGTGAATACCTTTTTTAAACAACATAAAAGACTACTATATACATGGACCTCACCAGATGGACTACACAATCATCAAAGTGACTACATATGTGGGAAGAGATGGTGGAAAAGCCCCATATCATCAGCCTAAACAAGGCCAGGGGCAGACTGTGGAACAGACCATTGATTGCTCATATGCAAGTTAAGGCTGAAGCTGGAGAACTTTTATCACTCATGTATTACTTGTGGTGGTGGTGGTGCACATTGGAGTTGTCCGACTCACATGGAAAAAATGGTGCAGTTACTATGTAAAACAGTTTGGCAGACCTTCCCCTTCCAAAAGTTAAAAATGGATGCAAGTCATGATTTCATGGGGTATCCCACTCGATAATGACTTAAGTTCTGTTCAACTTCCTAGCTTGATATGTAGTGTCTGGCTGGGGTCTTAGGAGCTTGCCAATAGACTTTCAAGGTCTCTGTTCATCTGGAGCAACAGAGGAAGGAGAAAAAGAGGAGGACATGGATACATGATTAATTACCTCTAGGAACAACTGCCTCCTTTGCCATGAAACCAGAACTTGATGGTGCCTGACTACCATCACTAAATATTTTGATCAAATATTCTATAGACGAATTCTCATCAAACAAGGGAAAAATTTCATGGAATCTAGATTCTCTACAGGCTGAATAAACCCCAAAACTATTGCCCTGAGATAATCTTTGTCTTAAACTAAAAATATCTCCTGAGTTTTCTTAAATCCAAACAACAGTTTAGCTTAACTAGTAAAGAGTATCTTTCTTGAGCACTGTGTTCTTTTAAGACCTAGCTATCTGTGGACAAAGTGACAACAACTTGAAAGATTAAACAGGAACCCGAGGAGGTGGTGAGTTCCTGTGAATGAGGGAGTAACAACTCAGAAAAGGAAGGTGAGAATGGCTGCACAGCTTGAAGAATGTCATCTATGAAACGGAACTGTACACATGTGGAAACTGTTGAATTGGTATATACTATCTGAGTATATTCTCAACAACAAAAGAAAAATAAATCATTTTAAAAAACTTATCAAACATTATATGCACACCAGTGTTCATAGCAGCACTATTCACAATAGCAAAAAGATGGAGACAGTCCAAGTGCCCATCAGTGGCAGAATGGATAAACAAACTGTGGTACATCCACACAATGGAGTATTATGCTACCTTGAAGAGTAACAAGGAAGCAGTAATCCACCACATAACATGAATGAACCTTGAGGACAATATGCTGAGTGAAATTAGTCACTCACTGAAGGAGATATATTGCATTAAGACTATTATTGTAAAAGCTTACGAAAAAGGAAGAAAAAGGAAAAATTATTCGTTGGTTACTGGGTGGGGTGGGAGTTGGGGGTGGAGGGAAGAGGGGACGGTAGAGCACAGGGTAGGAGATAAACACATCACAGTTCAGGTGTTGGGGTGGGCAATACACAAGAAGGGGAAGGCAGACAGAAGAACAAGGTAGATAGGAGAACACTTAGGCAGACTTGCATGGGCTAAATGGGACAGAGGTAAATAGTGATGAACGCTCAACCCTGGAACAAAAGGGCTCTGTGATACAGGGATTGAGACATAGTCTGAATAGGTGAAAGAAGGGAAATAATATTAAGATGCTTGACTGTCTTATGAACTACTGACCTTGTAGTTAGCAGCCCAAGTCCTTATCCTATAGTGCCACACCCAGGACTCCAAACAGAACTATTCAAAGTAGAACTATACAAAGTATACATTACAACTTAACACTGAAAATATTTACAGGTTGTTGTTGTTAAATGCTGTCGAGTCAGTTCTGACCCACTGTACAGTGACCCTGTAAGGGTTTCTGAGGAGCAGCTGGTAAGCTTGAACCTCCAACCTTGTGGTTCAAACTGACTTTGGAGTCCAGCGCATTAACCCACACACCACACTAGGACTCCACAGAATAATGACTTAATAAAAATTTTAATACAAGAAGGGTGGAAAGGAAACAAGCATTACTAGGAGGAAGTGGGGTAACTGATGTTAAATAGAGTGCATTGCAATCTGTTCAAAACTGATGATCTGTTCTGTAAACCTTCACTCAACTGACAATCAAAAGTTTAAGAATTGTAATTCTGCTGTATGTTGAGGGAAGGAGAGGACAAAAGGACTAGTTGAAATCTAAAATAATCCTGAAGTCAATGACATATCTAAAATTGAACTATCAATTGAGGTAATAATACATATTATTTAGAAGAAATAACAACATACCAAAAGGGGGAACAAATCTTTACAGCAAGGATCACTCCCACCCCCTTGGTACACAGGGTTGATAGGGATGGGCAACTTAGACATTGGCTACCCAAAATGGGGGTGGTGGGGGTGGGGGTGGGTACTACAAAGGCAAGAAGTGACTGGCTTACAAGCTTTCAAGAGGGAGACTAGTTCCAGAGGGGACAGGGGAAGGTAGAATCTCCACTGAGTGGTTTCAATCTGTTGGGACTTGGCTGATGAAAGGAAATGGGGACACTTGTGGTACAATAGTGAATAATTGCTATCAGGACTAACTGTGAGGGTCAGAAATGTAAAGGTAGATGTTCTGTAACAAAAGGAGGGGAGTGGTTGATTTTTCAGTCCAGAAGCAGAGGTCCCTGGGACCATCAAGGGAGAAGGGCAGAGTGCAGGACACTACCCAGAGAAGCAGTGACGCCAGAGATGGAGGCAGAGATGATGATGTGGAAAGATGGAGCAGCTGGGGACTCTGTAAACATTGCAATGAAACAAAATATGATAGAATGAATGTAAAGCTGGTGTTCTCCCATGTAAACTATCACATAATTCATAATAAAAACTTTAAAAAAAGAAAGAAAGAGCTACAAGAACTGAGAATAATTCTGCTGGGCAAATAAAAGAAATGGAGACAGGGAGTAAAAGGGAGAGGAAGACTCTCTTCTGTGTGTGTTTGTGTTAAGCCTTTCAGCACTATTATTATTATTATTTTACAATTTAACATTATAAAAAACAAAGCAGACATTACAAAACAAACAAGCAAGTATAAAAGCTACCATTTACCAAACCAGGGGTGATCTTCAAGGTGGAGTTCAAAAGGGACCATGAAAATGAGAGAAAGAGGGCAGGTGAATCACACATGGGTTTTTTTTTTTTTACAAGAACTCCAAAAGACACCCTAAAAACTGTCCCCTCCCTAAATGCTACTACTTAGAGAATTCAGAGGCCTATCTTAAAAGTTGAAATGGACTCGATGGTACTTAGCAACAACAATTGTTTCTGATTTTATTCCATCTCCCTGTCCACGATGCCATTATTATTTTTTATGTCATTATTGTTCAATTTGAATTAAATTATCTAAGGGAAACATGAAGTCCTGGTGTGATGTTGTAGGACAAGCACTGAACTACAAGGTCGGTTTGAACTACAAGGTCGGCAGATTAAACTCACCAGCGCTCCTGGAAACCCTAGACAGGATCACTAATGGATTAGATCTGACTCAATGGCACTTAACAATCACAACTAAGGGGGGATACAGAAAATACAGAAAAAGATACTAAGCAAAGTTTGGTAAGCAATTCCCAAGAAAGCTAAATATAATAATTCAAAAGGATAGCTGATAGGACACAAAAGATTTATTGCTCAACAAACATGGGACAAACACGAGTAGTCAATACAAAGAGACGGGTCATCAATTCTTTACTAATTAAACTTTGGTTGCTTTGTAGCATCTACTGGCTTTATAAGTAGACTTTTAATGGTTCACTACTACTACTAAGTTAGTCACGTCAAACAAATTCTAAGGAGTCAGAAGTTCACCTTCTGTCATTATCACTAACTTTCTAAACTACAAAGCAAAATGCTAAGATCAGATCATATTACTTCCAAGACTTAATTTATATCAATTAAAGTAATATTTAAGCATTACATTTCCCTGTACAAATAGTGTACACTTTCCTACCAATGACTTTAGCTCGGTACCAAATGCCATCTTCAAATTTAGCTACACAGGCTTGATCTTGAACCGGACAGAGGATTTCCAGATTTTCCCCGTCTTCATTTTTATAGAATTCCTCCATTGTCTTTAACAGAAACAAAAAATCCAGGTTCTCTATCTAAGAAACAAAAGAACAGAGCACAGTAGTAGGATAGCGACTTAAATTATAAATGCTGAATGCAATACAGGCATTCACAAAATTACTAAATATTAGAACTAGAAGTACACACAAATGTATCAATTGTACTGGTTATTTTAAATAATTATTACAGTTGTTGTTGTTGCTCCTAAGTGCCATCAAGTTGTTTCAACTCATAACGACCCTGTACAGGGTTTCCAAGGAGCGACTGCTGAGTTTGAACAACCAACCTTGTAGTTTAAACTAACCTTGTAGGCAAGTGCGTATCCTACAGCGTCACATCAGAACGCCATATATGTATGTGTGTCTGTCTGTATGAATGCATGTGTATATATACACATGCACATATGTATGCGTGTACGAACGATATGTGTGTGTATATGAATGTATGCATACTTTGTATGCATGTATATATTCCCAAAGAATTCACAATAAAGCTATTAGAGCTAAAATATGAATTCAGCAAAATTACAGGGTTTAAGGTCAACACATAAAAATAATTTGGGTTTCTATACACCAGTAATGAAGAATCTGAAAAGGAAAATTAAAAAGACAAAACAAAACCCTGCCATTTTCAATAGCGTCTAAAAGAATCGAATACCTAGCAGAGCAGTAATGTAACTACGGAGGTGAAATACCGGCTCACTGGAAACTATCAAATATTGCTGAACGGAAGAACATCTAAATAAATGGAACTGCACTCCATGTTCATTAGAATTAGGATTAGAAAACCTAATGTTTTTAAAACGTTGAGAAAGCAGTCTACTGATTTAATGTAATCCCTACCAAATCTCCAGCAACTCATTTTCGCAGAAACGAAAAGATCAATCCTCAAATTGATATGAAACTACAAGGGACCCAGAATATGCAAAAATGAAAATGAAGAAAGAAAATTCATACTTCCTAATTTCAAAATATAAAGTTACCGCAATAAAACCAAAATAGTACTAGTAATAATGAGACACATATAAATCAGCGGTATACAACAGGGAGTCCAGAAATAAACCCATATATGTGTGTTCAACTGATTTCTCCACAAGGGTGCCAAGTCTATGAAATGAGAAGAAAGTAGTCTCATCAGTAACTGGTGTGGGACAACTAGAGATGCTCACGCAAATGAATGAAACCGGACTTTAACTTTAGACCACACATAAAAATTCAAAATGGATTATAACCTACACCTAAGAGCTGTTGTGTTGTTCAGCGCCACCGAGTCAGTTCTGACTCATAGCAATCCTGTATAGGGTTTTCGAGGAGCTACTGTGAGCCTCAACCACTGACTTTGCTATTCAAACCAACTTCTCAGTCCAGTACGTTAACCTACTGCGCCATACCAGGACTCCAAATTTAAGAGGTCGTATCTGGGCAGCATGTATTCTACACCTAATTGTTTCTGATATATATACATATATATATATAATCACATTAACCACAGAAAGAAGCACCACTGGGGGAAGACAGACGCCATGTAAACATCGCCAAGGAAGCTCAGGAATGTTGGGGCTACCAAGTGGAAAGAAAGAAGGATCTTCTCCCATAGCCACACAGAGCAAGACTTCGCCTTTAGCAAGTGCCATGAATTTGCACTTGTAGCCTCCTGAACGTGGAGAAAATACGTTTTTCTTCATTAAAGCCACCCACTTGTGGCACTGCTTTTACAACAGGACCAGGTAACTAAGACAAGAACTTCATCAAAATTAAGAATTTTTGTTTATCAGAGGACTTCATCAGAAAGTGAAGAGGCAGCAAACAGAATGGGAGAAAATATCTGGGAATCATGTATCTGACAAGGGTTTAGTATCCAGGTGGTATAAGGAACACAAACAACTTAAAAAATAGACAAACCAACCAAGTAAAAATGGGCAAAAGACTTGCAGATATTCATCCAAAGAAGGCATACAAATGACCCACAAGCACATGAAAAGATACTCAAAATGCACTGTTGTTTTGTGCCATCAAGTCAGTTTCTGAGAGCAGCTGGTGGGTTTAAAAACGAACTTTGTGGTTAGTGCTCAATGCCTAACCCACAGCACCACCAGGGTTCCTTCATTACTAATTGTTGTTGTTATGTGCTGTGGAGTCGGTTCCGACTCATAGCGACCCTGTACAGGGTTTCCGAGGCTGTAAATCTTTATGGGAGCAGAGAGCTTCATATTTCTCCCGCAGAGCGGCTGGTAGTTTTGAACAGCTGAGCTTGCGGTTCCCAGCCCGATTCGTAACCACTACGCTACCAGAGCTCCTTCTCATTAGTGATTATATAAATGCAAATAAAAATTATTGTTAAGATAAAACTTCTCAACACTATGACGGCTATTATCAGGCAAACAGAAAATAAACAGTGAACTAGAAGATAGGAAAAAATTGGAACCCTCATCTATTGCTGGTGGGAATGGAAAACACTGGAGGTGGTGCCGTTTAAAACAGTTTGGAGGTCCCTTAGAAAGTTATACATAAAATTACCATATAAGCCAGCCACTCCATTCCAAGACATACACACAAAAAATCTGAAAGCAGGGCCTCAAACAGATAACTTACACACAATGTTCGTTACATTGTCACAATAACCCAAAAGTGGGAACAACCCAAGTGCCATCAACAGAACAATGGGTAAGCAACATGTGGTATATGGCGCTGCAGGATAAGCATCGACTGCTAACTACAAGGGTGGTGGTTCAAATCCAGCAGCTGCTCCTTATAAACACTATACAGAGTCACTATGAGTTGAAACTAACTCAATGGCACTAACAACAATAACAACATGTCTGAATCTTGAAACATTGTTGTTGTTAAGTGCCGTCAAGTCGGTTCCGACCCATAGCAACCCTGTACAGGGTTTCCGAGGCTGTAAATCTTTATGGGAGCAGAGAGCGTCATATTTCTCCTGCGGAGCGGCTGGTAGTTTCGAACTGCTGACCTTGAGGTTCGCAGCCCGATTCATAACCACTAAGCTACCAGAGCTCTTTGAATGTTGAAACATTAAGCTGAGTTAAAAGAAGTCCAGTGCAAATGGGCAAATACTGGAGGATCCCCATTTATATGACACTGTTAGAAGAGACAAAATAATAGAGACCAAATGCGTAGTGGTTACGAATCGGGCTGCGAACCTTAAGGTCAGCGGTTCAAAACTACCAGCC